TTTTTATCACGTGTAATTCTTATTGAAAGTAATTTTTTTACTTTACCACTGGTACGAAAAAATACCTCTGTCCTGGGAAGAACCAGCAAGAAACCCAGCGGGACTTTTTTTTTAAAGCAAATTTTACAATAATGGTTGTACAAACTATATAAGTACAAATTTTATTTTAGAAACAGCTTGGAAGCGATCACCTCATTCCCAGGGGTTATTATCAACCATGTATTCATTTATACTATAATAACCCTTTTTATACAGTTTCAACTTAACAAAACATTTAAACTTGCTAATAGAGAGTGCCTGTACACTTTCCGGGACCTTGTTGTAATAGCGTATACATTGCCCCAAGAATGAATTACTGACTCTGTGGAGTCGAGAAACTGGTATCACTAGCTTGTGTTTGTTTCTAGTGTTTACAGAATGCACATCACTTTTTTTACTAAAAACTACCTTTGTTTTTGTGTTCACACACACGTAGTAACAATATCACAGAACACAATTACTATCAACCGAGACATACACACCTCGGATAAAGAATCGCGGTCAGATCAGTCGCGCGACCGATCTGCATATTGTATGAGAGCGAACGGCCTGTATTGTTAAACAAATCCGAAACAATACGACCGTTATTATTGTAATTTTTAAGTTTAAAAAGTAGTGTGAATGTCAATAATATGATTAAAAATGACTTATAAATAAAAGGTAACGCCATATTTTATAAAGAATGATGTCCATTTTTCACCTGACTATGTATAGAAATGAAATAAATCTTAAAATTCAGCAAATTGAATTGTAAATTAAATACGCTTATCACAATGTTAAAAGAAACACAGGCGAAAAATATTTTTAACATTTATTTAAGCTTATTCTACGTCAAGGGTAAACGTATTACCACCATATTTTGAACGCATCTCAACTATCCTTTTTCTAGGACGTTCCATTTTACACACTGCTTAATTGCACTCTGTTAGTTATAAATCTCTGTCTTAATTGAATTATGTTTCTGAGTTTTAAACGTTATTTTATGTTTTATTTAATCAATAAGTATTTCTTTATTACTCTTTGTAAAGTATAGATTTATTAAATATAACATAATAATTAAATAAATTAATCGTACAGTATGTCATTGAGTGCGCACGGGTGAAACGGGTTCTTTTGACATTTGACAGTTCTACGATTGGCATCGGCGCAGTCCTTCCTTCTTGCCAAAGAGAATATAGTCACTTATTGCGTTTGCGTCTCGTTATGTATTGCTATTTTGCTATTTTGTGTGTTTTTCATGGATCATAAAATATAGAATAGAAATATGTAGGGATACACAAGATTTTTCTCAGTATAATCTCAGAGGAAGTGGTGATAGAACATTAATAAGAGATAGAAAAATTAACTATTTGTTAACGGCAATTCCTAACCTGAAGAGAACATTAAAATTTTTGGGCTTCGTAGCGTTTAAATCGTAAAAATGACTACATGACATTATTTTCTAAGCTTACAGGAAGTTTTTCTACTACACCTTATAACTATACATAAACTTTTACTATCAGGTTTTTAATGCATGAAGAGTGGGCATGGTTCTTTGAAGTGACAGATCTCTTTATGCAGCAAAATACTAAATAATTCGGAATTTTGTAGGACAATTGATTCCGCCACGCAACTAGTGAGCAGTGCGTCATAAATAAAATAGTGTAAAATAAAAATAATAGTCTGCGTATTGCGTAGCTATCTGTTCATACTGGATCGTAACAGTAAAAAATTACAAACGATAATTTAACTTTGTAGTGCACAAACGTCCTAATTAAGGGGCTACTCCATGCGAACGACCTTGAGCATTTGACCGGCGCGCCGTTCGCTACAATATTAATATATTGTAGCGAGCGGCTCGCCGGAAGAAATATGTAAGACGCCACCTATTGTACGAAAGTAGTATTATTTTTTCAACATCAATAAACTATTTTATGGAAATACACATAGCGTACAAAGATAAATGTATTTTAATTTTTTTATTCTGTACTTATATATTAGTTGCATTATATTAGAATTATCTATTTTCATATATTATCTAATTATGAAATTTTATAATTAATTATATAAACGGAAGCATTGAAAATTGTGAGTTTAAAAGATACCTATTCACTATAGGTAAATAAATAGATAACTCGGCTTTTGTACAAATATTTGGTGCAATAAAAAATATATAAATACAAAAATCAACAAGAAGTATAAGGGTTCAATCTTTCAATTTCAGTTGTAAAAAAACGTTACACCCACACTAGGATTTTCTCCTGTGTCGTGGAGGCAGTTTACAAACATAAATTGCACAAAGACAAACATCCAGACCCGGAACAATTATTTGTAGGCCATACAAATCTTGTTCCATGCGGGATTCGAACCCGCGGCCCCCAGCGCAACAACATTGCTAAGCCACTGCGCCACCATGAAGCTAATACAAAGACTAACTTTGTATTTGCTTCATGGTCGCCGGGTTATAACTAAAGTGACCATACGTCCTGTTTTGAACGGGACTGTCCCTTTTCTCGGTCTTCTGTCCCATTGTCCCCAAACAAAGCTCCGGGACACAAAATTGTCCCGTAACTCGTTGGATGGAAGTATTCAAAGTCAACAATCTTCAACATAATTTTTTTTAATCGAATATATTTTATGTCTACCTGGTACGAATGCTCCGGTAGAAAGAGTATTTTTTTATTTTGCATAAATTGTGGACGTCTGAAAGAAACACTTACGGTTCCAGAGTTCTAAAGGCGATGTTGTTAACAAAGATAACAATAAAAAACTTGAGCAGAATTTTATTCTTATTTAAAATCATCACCAACTTTATTAAAGCAAATTTAATCCACTGACAAATGTAATTAATAATTAAAAAAAAAATATGTTGCATTTAATAATTACCGTCTATACCGAATATAATTTTATAGTGAATACTAATTGTATAAAGTTATAGTTTTTAGAGTATAAATAAACCCATGTCCTGTTATGAGTTAAAAAATAAATGGTCAGCTTAGTCTTTTTAGTCAAATTTAGTTTTAATTTTTTTTAGTTTATAGTAAAAAGTAGGTATATTAGTACTTTTTACCGAGTTATAAGTATAGAACACCTTATGTACTCAATTATTTTTTGAAAAAGAAGAAAAAACAAGCAATAAATAATATACTATATTTTAGCAAAAAACTATAACTTAGTAATACTAATTATAACTTAGAACATAAATGAAAAACTCATAACTGACTTTTTGGCCCGACCCAGGATTCGAACCCGGGACCTCATGATCAGCAGGCGCACTACTACAACCACTAGACCAACGAGGCAGTACTATACCTGATAAGATATTGTGGTTGGGTGATAATATTGAATTAGCCTTTTATAATGTAAATTATAATATTTGTCGAAATTTTAATTATGGATTCGAACCTTACATGCTAATGGCGCTTCATTTTTTTATTTGCATTTACTTCAAAGAAAATACACGCAAAAATCTTCATTGCGCAGTAAAAAACACAACAAATATATGTATAACTAATACGAAAAATTATACCCAAAACAAACAAATAATACTACCTATAAATAACCTAATAAGTAATAATATTATCGACTCATATGACGTGGCGTATGCGTCGGTCGACGCTCTAACGACACGGGCTTCGCGTCGAAGAGCTCAGCGCTCACTGACTTCAGCAAGCCCGTGAGCAGTAAATATGCCCAGATTTTAAAATAATTTCTTAATAAAATCAAATTTTGGTCTTTTGAAAAAAAATTTACTATAGAAATGTTTATTAATAAATTGCCTATCCATTGGTGTAAATCGCAAAATAAAATAATACTTACTTTACGAGGAGATGCATGTTATCAATAATAATTTCACATTTATGTGGTTTCGTTGTAAGGAGATTATATTAATATTTATTCCTTTAAAAAAAATTGGATATAGCTTTTATGGAATCAAGATTATGTAGAAATATAATGTGTTTTTTATTTGTTGATATATCTTTTAAATAAAAAGTAGATAGCTCCTAAAAACCGCCCAAATAACGACTAGCGCGACATTTTGCTCAACCTGCGCCTTAATATGCTGTATCCAGTCATTAAATCAGTCAGGTGTGGAGTTTTGGCGGGAACTTGACCGGCGGAGAATTGCTGGTCCTGTATTATTGTTTAAATAATGGTTTGAAGTTCAAACCATTATGGTGTGTGCGTGCGTGCAAGTGAGATTTGGTGCATTAAATGTCTGCGCATATGAACTATTAGTGGTAATGGTGAAACAATTGCTCTGCATACTATCGCCAATTGTCTGCTGGCTCAAGTTGCCGTCAAAATCTCCTAAAACAACGCAATGTGACGCATCAACCTATTGTGAAGCAGAGTACTATAAATTATTATTATTAATAATAATAATTACGAGAGATGATATTCGACGAAATAAACATTGATTTATTAACATGGTTTTTAACAAAACACAGCTGGTAAGCGTCTGGAACCGATAAAATCCATAATTATTAATATAAAAAGTTTACCTACATCCGCTCGTACTCACACATATTAAGGCGCAGGTTGAGCAAAATGTCGCGCTAGTCGTTATTTGTGCGGTTTTTAGGAGCTATCTACTTTTTATTTAAAAGATATATCAACAAATAAAAAACACATTATATTTCTACATAATCTTGATTCCATAAAAGCTATATCCAATTTTTTTTTAAAGGAATAAATATTAATATAATCTCCTTACAACGAAACCACATAAATGTGAAATTATTATTGACTAGCGGTCGCCCGTGGCTCCGCCCGCGTGGATGTCGGTTACCGCTGCAAAAAGCCTACCCAGGAAAGACACGGTCAGCAAACAAAATGATTCCCAGGTCAATTCACAGACACCGACACTAACATCGACGAAGCAGTCACTATCCGCAGGCTGAACAGATTTTCTTTCTGTGGATGTTATTTGTTAAGTCCCGGAGTGCAACCTGTTGTTTTAGGATAGAAAACTTAAGCTATTATTGTAGAGCTTCTCTATACACAACATTTGACGTTATATTATTTTCTGGTAACAAAATATACTGATGGTCGGGAGCCCCGACCCGTGATAGGGCAACGTAAAGTTGCCCATGCGTAAAACATTCTTTTCGTAAATCAATTCCTACTAATTTGAATGTTTGGCCCTGGGATTTGTTTATCGTGAGTGCGAAAGAAATTTTTACTGGAAATTGGAGCCTTTTGAAGGGTATAGGCAAATCAGTAGGGATCATGGGTATTCTTGGTATATGAGCTAATTCACCAGCTGCAGGGCCGGTGATAATTTTCGCAACTATTAAATTATCTTTTAGCTCCTTTATAAGAAGTCTCGTGCCATTACACATGTTGGGGGGTCTTAAATTTCTGAGAAGCATTATCGGCGTGCCAACTTTTAACGACAGTTCATGAGGTGGAAGCCCAGCGGGGTTCAGAGAATTTAAAAATTCCTGGGGGTAGTGCACTGCGTCCTCGATGTTAGTGACGGTGTCTATGGATTTATAGCACTTAACTTCACCCGGTACTTTCTGCATAATTAAATTGTTTATTTCGTTGACTGTTTCATTCCTGGGAGAAACTATTGCTCTACAACACAGCCAACGAAAATCATTTTGATGTAAGTTTTCGATGTCAGGATATATAGCATCTATCAGACTATCTAAATTATAGACTATTTGCCCTAGAGACTCATTCAAAGTAACCGCATAATCGGTGCCCAAATTTAAAGATGGAAGAATTCCTTCTCCCAGTTTCAGCAGCTGTTGTGGAAAATTGCTATGCGTATTTCCATGTAGATGAGCTCTCATATTAGTACGCAAATTCAAATGTTGAACAGATGTCCAAAGGTGAGACGATTTTAAACATGCCTTCATAATATCTGCTCGCGTACCTCTGTTGACGACAGGAAGCGTTTGTCGGAAATCTCCAGCAAATACAAAAGTGATACCACCCATGACATTAGCAGAGCTTCGGAGGTCTTTTAAAGTACGGTCCACGGCCTCCACATGAGCTCTATGACTCATGGTGCATTCATCCCATATTACCAACGACGCGTCTTGCAGCAACTTACCAAGAGGCCCATTTTTCCGAATAGAGCACGTAGACCGTTGATCTAAAGATACGGATAGCGGGAGTTTAAACGTAGAGTAAGCAGTTTTTCCTTCGTTCAAGAGAGTTGCAGCAATTCCTGACGAAGCAACTGCAATCGCTATCTTCCCTGATTGCCGTATCTTAGCAAGTATCAAATTTGCGAGAAAAGTCTTTCCGGTGCCTCCTGGTGCGTCCAAAAAAAATAATCTCCCCATGTTATTGTTCACGCTGTCCACAATAGTCTCATAAGCATGTCTTTGATCTGGTACTAATTTTGGCATATTGTCATTAACAAATGCTGTTAGATCATTGCTGTTATACTGTTGTACTATTGTGTCAATAGTATTATTCTGGGTACGAACGGGAGAAGGTAATCCAAAATCACTTAAATTTTTGTCGTTTAGTTCTAGAAGTTTGTTTTCTATTTCAATTAATACTTCATTATAAATGACTTCAGTGAAGGGTGAAGTGTTATCTTGATTTTGTTGTCTGATACAATGTCTAATATCTTCACAGAACTGATCTTTGAAAGTATCCCATAACTTCAATGGTTCCGATGGTTGACAAAATAAAAGTATGATTACGAACAACTCCCTTAGTTTTTTTGGACAATGTGATAACGAAGCTTCGCTTAAAGTGTTACCCCAATGATCATCGTTTTCAAGTAAACCTCGGTCACGGCAAGCTGCTTGATACGTCTCTTTGACAATACCGTTTACAGTTTTAAGGTATGCAAATGAGGTCGGACCGCGTACGTGGTGCAGTAGAATCCTAAGATAAAAACACTCTGATTGGGATGGATGTATCCCGTAGACTCTACCTAAAGCGGCATCTTTTTTTATCCCCGGATGTCCAACTACATCTTCACCACGCTTCCTTCTAGTGAATGTATTATTTGCCCATGTATAGTATTGCGGGACTTCATGATACAGAAGAGTTTTCGCGAATTCATCTTCATTACAGAGAGCAAAAAATGCCAGTAATGTGGTATTGCGTGGGTTTTGGACAACTTGATGAGCTGTCCCTGGTGTAAAATACACCCTTTGACCGTTCTCTAGATGAACGGCCAAATGCACTACAGTAGGATGCCGCTCGTGAATGGGAAATTCAAATAAGCTCCAGACAGCTTCAGATGTGCTTATGTACCTGCCATTTAAATAGTTTTCGACCTCATCGTGTGGGTTTCTAAGGCTAAAAGTTGCCTGATCTGAACCTTTATTTATATACTTACATATATATTTAATGGCTTGGACAGAGTGGCAATACTCCACGTTTATATGAGCGTTAAAAGTCTTACATAGTAGCGGGGAGTATGGAACAATCCACCTATTATCTATCGTCACCATGTTGCCCCTGATTTGTAGCGTAGTGCTCCGACCGCCATTTCCTGTATCACGCCTACGATAAACTGGATACCCATCCTCTCCGGTCTGGGTATCGTTCATGAAACGGCGAGGGTAATTTTTTGTGCAGACACCGTTCTTCACCACGTTCTGCACCATGCAGCTAAATTATGTTCTCCGCAGGGTCCATGTACCATATTTTTAGTTATAATGTCGTGTAGTACCGGATCAATTTGTTGATCGGGTAGCTCCGCAACTATGACACTGTCGATCTCATCTGGTTGTATTTTAGTTTCTAGCCAGAACAGTAAATGACAATGAGGTAAACCGCGCTTTTGCCACTCCACACTTGCCATATAACATTTTACTTTACCGAATATCTGTTCTTTGACAAATAATTTGATGAATTTTTTCATCTTTAAATGAAATACACGTGAAATTATGTCATGACGGTCGAAAGACCGTTGTCCTGGTAGCAGCTCGGCTTTTATTTCAGGCCATTCGGGGTTACATGTAAAAGTGACAAATAAGTCAGGTCTACCATAATTTCGAACGTACGTCATCGCGTCCTGCGTTTTCTCGTGCATGAAACGGGGAGAACCCGTAAATGACGATGGCAATATGACATCATCATCATCATCATCATTACAGCCCTTCACAAGTCCACTGCTGAACATAGGCCTCCCCCAAAGAATGCCACAAAGCACGGTCCTGAGCCACCTGCATCCATCGACTTCCTGCATGTCTTACCAGGTCGTCACTCCATCTCGTGGGGGGACGCCCTACACTTCGCCTACCGGTACGAGGCTGCCACTCGAGAACCTTTCTTCCCCATCGGTTGTCGGTTCTTCGAGCTATATGGCCGGCCCACTGCCACTTCAGCTTACTAATCCGTTGGGCTATGTCGGTTACTCTGGTTCTACTGCGGATATCCTCATTCCTAAGTTTATCACGCAGAGAAACTCCGAGCATAGCCCTCTCCATAGCTCGCTGAGCGACCTTGAACTTCCTCATACGGCCAGCAGTAAAGGACCACGTCTCAGTTCCATAAGTCATCACTGGCAACACGCACTGGTTGTACAATTTCGTTTTCAGGTTTTGAGGTATTTCTGACGGGAAGATGTGTCGTAGCTTCCCGAACGCTGCCCAGCCGAGTTGAATCCGTCGATTGACCTCTCGGTCGAAGTTGGACTTACCTAGTCGGACTATTTGTCCCAGGTAAACATACTCGTCAACAACTTCGAGCTTAGTGTTCCCAACAACTACCGGCATAGGTGTGACATGGACATTGAACATGATCTTTGTTTTGTCCATGTTCATCTTAAGACCTATCCGTTGGGAAACACTATCGAGGTCATAGAGCATAGTGCTTAGGTCCTCCAGCGATTCTGCCATAAGGACTATATCGTCGGCAAATCGAAGGTGAGTGATGTACTCGCCATTGATGTTGATACCGTATCCTTTCCAGTCCAGAAGCTTGAAAACGTCTTCCAATGCAGCGGTGAAGAGTTTCGGGGATATGACGTCACCCTGTCTTACACCTCTCTGCAATTGGATAGGTTTCGTACTCTGGTTCTGTACTCGGATAGCCATCGTAGCCCTACTGTACAAGCACTTCAACACTTCGATATACCGACAGTCAACTTGGCACCGCTGAAGGGACTGCAGCACCGCCCAAATTTCGACGGAATCAAAGGCTTTCTCATAGTCCACATACGCCAGACATAGTGGCAAATTGTACTCTTCGGACTTCTGTACAATTTGCCGAAGGGTATGTATGTGGTCTATGGTGCTAAAGCCCTTTCGGAAACCGGCTTGTTCGGGAGGCTGGAAGTCGTCAAGTCTGCGCGCGAGACGATTCGTAATGACTCTCGAAAACAGCACGTAGACGCGGCTCAGAAGGGAAATCGGTCTGAAGTTCTTCAAGAGAGCATTGTCACCTTTCTTGAAGAACAAGACCACCGCACTTCTGCTCCACGCCTCCGGTGTAATGCCACCATGGAGGACGGAATTAAAGAGCTTCTGAAGGACTTCAAGTACCGGTCTTTCACCCGCTTTCAGAAGCTCCGCTGTAATTCCATCCTCGCCTGGGGCCTTACCGTTTTTAAGGTGCTGGAGAGCCATTCTAATCTCGCTCAGACTGACGTCCGGGATATCTTCGGAATAGTGTCGGATGAGACTCGCTCTTGGATCGTTACTCACACTTGCGTGTGGCTCCAACGATGACGTGTACAGCTGCCCATAGAACCTCTCAATCTCACTCAAAATCTCAGGTGTCCCGGAAACGATGCTGCCACATTCTGTCTTCAGCTTTGACAGGTGGCTCTTTCTGGCAGACAGATCTCTGGCAAAGACTTTGGAGCCTTGGTTCCGCTCGATCGCTTCTTCAATACGAGCTGTATTGAAGTTGCGTAAGTCCCGCCGCATGCATTTGGAGATCTGTCTGTTCAGATGCCTGTATGCTGTCAAGTCTGTTGAAGAATGTAGCTTCATCTCCCGTCTAACAGCCATGAGATTAAGAGTGTGATCGGAGAGTTTTTGTGTTCTTCTGCGGCGGGTCTTGCAGAACTTAGCTCCGACCGCATGGACAGTTTCCACGAGCTTGTCATTCATATCGTCCACTTCATTGCAATATGACATGTTGACCGATATTTGATGGGTCAACATTTGCGTCATGATTTAAGGCATCTCTGAGATGAATGTAGTCATCAGCCCTCAGTCTTTGTTGATTCCGACAAATATAATTTAATCTTTCCGATATCATTTTCGCCATCATGTCAACACAATATTGACTAAATAAGTCTCTATGATAATGTAACGGATTAAAAGAGTTAGTTCTAATCATTAATCTAAATGCATAAAATTGCATACACGAAACAGTTTTATTACGCGCAGATCCCTGCTGAGGGATAGTCAAATAATAACCGTCTTCTCCTGTCACAAACATTATAGGATACTGTAGTGGATCATAGGACCGATGTAGCTCAGAAACTCTTTTGAGCTGCCCGTCTCTACCGTGTAAGACTATATCCCTGGGACCTTTGTCTTCATCGACCAAGAGAACAGCTACCTCGTTTACAGTAGGAGCATTATATCTGCCTCTGTGTGCTGTCTGTGGAGTGCGATCTGAATGAATAATTAACTTTAAATTATCTGAGGAGTTAAGTTCTAAGTTTTGTTTAAAACTTCGTATGTACACGTTATGATTATTTAAAGCGGTCTGTAATTCGTGAATTAAATCCATTTTTAAGGTTGGTGCGATGCTTGATCGCAACGATAACTGGTCTGCATCCGAAATAAAATATATTTGCAAGAACTGTGGGTTTTGGCCTGATGGTGGTAAAAGGCTACCAATTAGATGATACACTTGTCCTTCAATTTTAAAAGTGGGCATAAAATTTCCTTCCCTGATTTCTTTTGCGCCAAACGAAGTCATTTGAAAAAGACTATTGTATTTACGTATGTTTGTTAAAAAATGCCCAGATAATGGATGGTTATTAGTCAAAAGATTTTTTATTGGTTGTGGCGGCTCCTGCAGGTTAGGAAGACAAACGTTACCTGAAGCACAGCACATACCATTAGGTTCGTCC